GGTGGGGGTGGGGGTGGGCTGCTCCAGGGCCAGAAATGTCGGGGTTAGCTTCCAGCTCTGCCGGGTCAATAACACAGTCAAGCGCCGTCGTGTTTGAATGACGATGGCTCTCATGTATGTAGGTCAGGGTTTTAGTGACTATTTATCAAGCAAGAGGCATGAGCTCAGTTGCCTGGAGCAATCTTGACGAGTTTCGTCAGCTGACAACAGATTGCACATTTCGCTGCAGGGTCATATAATAATGCATCAAGCTCTCAACCAGCTAAAATGGCGCAAAGTGGCATTGGTGATGGCCCATTAGCGTGTTGTGTAACGTGGTTATCATGACCCGAGCCAAGACACAGAATGTTCTTGATGAACAAGTCATCTTCGTCCGTTTTTCTTGACTCTGCCTATGTCCCAAGGTCTCGGGTTCCTGGAGGTGTAGGTAGAATATGTTACAAAGCCAGTCATACGCCTAATAAGATGAAAACGTGCCTCTTCCGGCTGCCAGGTCAGGTACTATAATCTAGAAAGTGATAATAATAAGAAGTCAGGTCTGACGGCAGGAAGGCTGCGTCGGCGACTAGGACAGCTGGATAGACATTCAGTTCCACTCGGTATTCGCGCACATTCACGGTATCCTCCTGGATGAGGAAATGGAAGCTATTGAGCATAGGAAACACATTTATGCCTGGGTCAGGTGAGTTCCTGAGCGGGCAAAGTAGCAAAATGATTCGCATTGGCACATTATCAAGGTGTAGATCATGAGTAGGAAGAGCTATATCATTCCATGATCAGAACAATCCAATTGGCCACGTATTCTCCTGTATGAGGATCGACTTCCAACTTGGAAAAAGGATGAGATACGCGCTTCAAACACTTGGCACCCCTCTCGAAAGCCAGAGTATGTGTGGGCCGTAAGATTGCAGTGGGTTAGTTTTCATTGGCTGATGGCATAACTACGGTTGCTGCCTGACTGCAGGTATACATATGAACTTACCCCTCAGCATATCCAGCCGCCTGCGAGGCTCATTTACCTAGGTCACGATCTCCAAAGTCAGCTTCAGGCTCGCCGGCAAGCTTGATGCGTACGTAGGCGTGGATAAGGCTCTTTGTGCGAAGATTAAGCTCGTGGCCTGTTTCATCACCTTGCCAATTCTGTCTCTTAAGCAAATCCACTTCTCCATTCAGTCTTGGCGCAATTGATAGTCAACATCCACGATGGACGCCTTTGGCATGATCCCGAACATCATCGCCACAATCCAGGCAACCTACAAGGTTATCAAGTTTTTCGAAGAAATAAAGAGCTCGGGACTTGACTGCAATAGATATATATCTGAAGCAAGCTCTTCCTGCATAGCCTTGCAGCAAGTGCGAGAACGCCTCGATTCAAATCTGGCAGATGGACGTACTGTAGAGCCTTGGTTTCGCCACTTGCAGGCTCTGGCCGGCGAGGACGGAGTGCTGAAACACTACACGAGCGACATGGAGCAAGTTGCAACCATTTTGATCGAAGTCAAGAGTTATCGCTTCCGACGGATCTTTGTGTGGCATCGCGAGAAGGAGAAAATCGAAGAAATCTTCAGGAAGGTTGAGCGGCACAAATCTGCTATCCAGCTCGCATTGTCCCATGATCAATTGTAAGTCTTGGTACCTTTTGAAGCCTGATATGTGAAATATCATCATCTGACCAGGTATGCCAAGTTCCTTGTCCGGCCATACCCATGAAGTTCTGAACAGTGTCGAAGCCCGCATCCAGACGACCGCAAGTTTACAGGCAACAGAGAAAGCACAATCGGATAAAGAGAAAGTAATTAAATGGATATACCAGTCTGCCGTGAATCACGAGCATTTTCAGCAGGACTATAACGCTGCTGCACAGGATGGCACAGGACAGGCGTTCTTGAGCTCTGACAATTTTCAACGATGGCTAGAAGGCCCCTGTGCGACCATCTTTTGCCCTGGCCTACCAGGGGCAGGCAAGACTGTAATGGCTTCTATCGTGAAGTCCCATCTAGACGAAAAGACGATGGGCAGCAATCATCCCACAGCTATCTTGTACTTCAATTACAAGCGACACCTTGAAGATCACAATCATCGGACACTTCTTCTCGCCATCTTAGCTCAATTTCTATCTCGGAGAGAGAAAGTTCCCGATCGCCTTTTGAAAACTTATGAGCGACAAGGGTCACTCCATATGGACGATATCATATCTATCCTCAAAAGTCTTGTCCAGTCATCCCACCGGAGCTTTCTCATCATGGATGCTTTAGATGAGTTATACGATGACGACGGGGCTCGTACTCGCTTTTTACATCTAATTCAGCGAATTCAGGCTTCCGGTAGCCTGAAAATTATGATGACGGCTCGGCCACACTTGACTGATGATCTCGCTATTAGCAAGTGGTCAGATGCTACTATCGAGATAACGGCAACCGACGACGACTTGCATACGTATTTGGACCAGAAGATTTGCAGTTTCCCATATCTACCCGATGACTTTGATTTTCGTCAAAGCATCGCGGATCGTATTGTGGAAGCCTCGGCAGGAATGTTAGTACCTACCTAGCCTCTGGCCAACTTGTTTGTTTCACTATATCTAACCATGGCATGATATTGTTTGGTTTAGTTTCCTACTCGCAGTCCTGCATTCGGACTCCCTGAAAGATGCGTACAGCGAGTATGAAGTCGAGGATATCTTGGAAAATCTGTCTAAAGGGCCGGATGCCTTGGACAGGGCGTACGAGGACGCGATCAAACGTATCGATCACCAGCCAGCGAATCGGAAACATTATGCTCGACTCACTATTTCCTGGATGGTTCAATGCCTCCAACCAATTTCACCAGTGGAACTTCAGCACGCTGTAACCAAGCCCGAACACCTAGAGAGGGGTCTCTCAGCATCGGCCCTTGTGAAGATAGATGCTCTTGTATCTTTCTGCGCCGGACTCATCACGATCGACCACGAGTCGAATGTCGTTCGATTCGTTCATTACACCACACAGGAGTACTTCACACGAGACCGGCTCACAAAGTGGCTGCCAGGTGCAGAATTGGGTCCAGCACAGTTGTGCACTGCATACATGATGAACTCCAAGCTTTTGGAGGCTATAGAAGACACGCATAAAACTTGGTTAGAACACGTGAGAGAACGTGAAGAGTCGATAATGTCCTCTCAAAACCCGGCCATGTTTCAGGGAGACGATTCTTACCTGCTGATGCGACCCGAAAACACGCTTGCGAACTGGTCGCTCTTGGGGTACTGCAAGAAACACTGGGGTTCGCATTGTTCAGAATTTCAGAAGCCCCTGCAGAATGTGCTCCTGAACTTTCTCACAGGGCCAGCAATGGTCGTGTATCGCGAACAAAACTTGCGGTGGCACGAGAACTTCTGTTCCGTGTCGCCATATGGAGATATTGCAACTGGTAACAGCTTTATCGGTCAAGCCCAACTGCGGCAGGTCACCCCGATATCAATCTGTTCTCGATGGGGTCTCAACCATCTGATAAGCAAATTATTGGATCAAGGCTCCGACACTCAAGTGGCACCGATGCTGAAGGAAAAAGGTCCCGGCCACCCCGACTACGGGTGTTCCTTGCTTGGGTTCCGCCACATAGCCCTTGACGAGCCGCTCTTACTCGCCAGTCGGATGGGGAATGTGGAACTTGCAGCCTTGCTGCTTGCACGCACCTCGATACGGGACGACGTTTATTACGAAGCTTTCCGAGCAGCGGACGAGAAAAAGGATCTTGATATGCTTCACATTCTCATCACAAGGTGCCCCCTGGATACCATATCCCTCAATCGAATAGCCATGTGCTCTTCTATGGACGAATCTCGGATTAAAAATAGTCTCCTCGTTCGTTCGCTACACATGTCGCCTGATGAGAATCTTGAGGGATTCAAGGTATTATTTGGCCGGCCGAATGCATCTTTCTGGGTGGAGTATCTGCTTGAGCAGGGCTTAGACGCCAACAAGACGTACCCGGGGAATCAGACTGGTATTGAGATTGCCGCTGCAGCTGGCTGCCTTGAGAGTGTCCGTGTTCTGCTGAACTATCCGGATGTACAAGTGTGCTATGCCGACAAAAAGGATGCGTTGGAACTCGCGGCAGAAGAGGGCCACTTGGGAGTTTTCCGCGCACTGCTGTCTCATGTTTCGAGTATTCCGAACATGATCGACTTGGTTCAATGCAGTGTTGGCCGAGTCTTCAAACTTGTTGCCGAAGCCCCTCGCTGGAACCCTCGGCCGTCAAGAGTGCCAATCATGAGGTCCTTGCTTGAGTACGAAGACTTCAGTCGCCTGACATTCAATCAAGTGAAGAAGGCCATACAGTCTGCAGTCTCCAGTCCCTCCGATTACGACCGATTAGATGAGCAACATGCCATCTTAGATTTGATCTTTCATCATTCTAGCATTGACTTTCAATGCATAGACATCCACGGACGCACGCTGTTACAAACCGCTGTAGCGCATACGCTGGCCTGCCGTGCATCCATCAGGGACAGGACAAAGGAATCTGTGCTTGCTGATGAAAAATACACGCGCACATTGAGTATGTTGCTCCAACATCCTAGCTTCGACTTCAGCAGCCAATACAACCCTCTGATCGAGTTCTTGACGAAGCACCATGTGGACATAGACGAACAAAAGAACCGTGGTCTGGACATCATTTCCAAAATTCAAATGCTTCTGAAAGACTCTCGGTTTCAGCCAGACATCCCCGACGAAAGCGGGCGGACGGCTTTGTCGCATGCATCGGAATACCACGCCGAGTACCTTGTTAGAATGCTCATTCAACATCCGCTCGTCGATGTGAATTCAAGAGATGCCTCTGGTCGGACGCCACTCTCCTATGCGGCGGGAAGCGAACATAGGGACTCCAAGATATCCGTCGTACCGATCTTGTTAGAAAATGACTCTGTCAGAGAGAAAGCGAATTGCCCCGACACAGCGGGAATCACACCTTTGATGTACAGCTGCAGGCTCGGTAAAGTAGACCAGGTGGGATTATTGTTGGATGTTGCGGCATCGGAAGCCAACCTACATGATCATCATGGCCGAACGCCGCTTCTTCATGCTCTCGAGGCCGGGCCTTACCATTACAACGATTGTGGGGCCTTACCATTACAACGATTGTGAACATGAGCCACTCACAGTGCTCCTTGCAAACCCTAACATCAAGATCAACGCCAAAGACAACGATGGGAGAAGCACTCTTTTCTATGCATTCAGACACCAGATACCAGTGTGTGGAGAGCGCGACATCTGGTCAAAAAGAGAATGTCGCTGGTTAGACACACCACGTAAAAACGACTGGGATCCTTGGCCGACTCTAAAGAGGGGGCCCAACATATCGCTTCTTTTGCAGCACGAGGACCTGGAAATTTCAAGAGGGCTCCTGGAAATGCGTGATGAAGATGGTCAGGCACTTGACTGCAATGATATTCTGAAATTTGTGGGAGAGCTACGAGAGAGACATCAGGAAACTTGGCCATATCGAGAATGGACCCCCCTCGGTCCAACAGAGTCAAGGCACCTCGATACGATAGAATCGATTTTCACCGAGGGACGGTTAACAGCCTGATACACAAATAGCAAGGCAGACTCTGTGAGTTGCTTCCAGAAGAGAAATGCAAGACATGGAAGATCTGCCCTGATGATGAGGATAGCCAGAGCCATAGATAGTTCAGTCATGGGCATCAACGTGCGATCTTATTTCCCTTCACTACATTTGAGTGCTTCAAATAAAGAGGTCGGAGATTACAAGAGGCAATTCGACCATATAAGGAACTCGTCTCCGGACATGAATGATACTAAAGGTAGACGTTGTGAAGCAAGTAGGTTCCGAGAGTGATACACCGCCCTTCACTCGTATTGACTTTTGGGTGTCGTGTTAAGTACAAGAAGCCACCTCTGTGTGCAAGCAGAGTCCTGAATTTCCACATGTAGACTTTCACCACTTTGAGAGACATTGAAATCCAGGCTATTAATGGTGTAGATGAAGGAGCTTTGCGGCGCGAGTGCGTGTATGCGACCTCGCCCAATTTGCCTACCTAGGCACTCACACAGCATCCTAAGGGTTCACAGTTTGGAGCAAAAGCATACCGCTACTGTTATTCAATATGCTGGTCCCAGAAAGGATGGATTGTTCCCTCTACAACTGCTTAGTAACAGCCTTCACTGACATTGAAGGCGATGTGTGCCCAGATACCCTGAGCCAGTTGGAATACAAGTGTGCGACCGGGAAGTTGCTACCTCAAAAACCAATCTTATAATGCCGGATGACCATGTCAAAATTAAGCAAATTAGACGAAAACAATAAGAGCAGAATTGCACCAAGGCATTGATGAACTGCTGTCTGATGGGGGAAAGCATTGAACACGGCATGCGCACTGCATAGCAGTTCAAATGGCAAGATGAACAGGTAGTGTGGCTTGGCATCCCTTGAAATCACCACCACGCGGCTTTTGCGGCTGGTTGGTCGGCCGGTTTTCCCCCACAGCATGACTTTTATTCCAAGAAACGCACCGGTTGACTGGTTTATTCTCTTGTGGCATGGACACCGCCGAACTTATGGTCCAAGACCCTCGCCTCTATTCGACCCGAGCGCCGGGCTTAGTGATGCGGTTTACGTATGCTCGATGGCCTGAACCACTTGTCCATGCTCTATCGATCTACCATCCCTGCAGCTCACAACCATTTGCAACTTGACGACAGATGGCTGCAGGCGTGCATTTCGTTCCGTGGCCAGACGTGAGACTATCTTAAAAGGGTGAGGCGCGGTGGTGGCCGTCCGCCCGCAGCCCGTGATACCTTGCCATTCCGGTGATTTAAGCTACACTGCATAACCGCAGTTTTTCTCCTCTCATTTTTCTCGGTCTACGGATAGAAGGCCTCTTCAGGGATGTGGGCGCAAGTGCCGGCGTCGGGTGACATGGGTGGTGGTTTTGACAGGTTGGTGCGCCGCACGGCGAGGCTCAGCGCAAGCGGGAAAGGAAAAAAAACTACGAACACTGTCGGAGCGCCGAACCGATTGGTTCTAGGCCGGCAGGGGCACGTAAGGAGGCGAAAGATTTCGTGGTCGCGAGTTATTTGCAGCAGCGAAAGTATGCCGTCCCCGACTTGAATACGAACCGTTTTGTGTTCCCGTGGGGCAACTCTTGGTGATGGGGTCATGGCGATGGCGATGCCATCTGTAGTTCTGTGGATGATGTTGGCTTGATAACTCTCCCTCTGCCGAATGTGACATTGGAGAAAAGGCGATGGGACAAACCACCCGGGCGCGGAGGCGAAACGTTTGTGCGTATTTTGAGTAGGCGGTTCGGATCAAGCTACCGACCATGTGAGGTGACGAAGACTGGGGGGGTGCTTGGGCTTCTTTTGCCTTCCTTCTTTTCGTTGACTGACGTCTCCCCGCATCTTTGCGCGCGCCATGCCGTGCGCTACGCCGTGGTGCTTCTGGGAAAAGGTCTAGATGCATTTAGAACGGTGTTTCACGGTGACTGTTGCTCTTCTTTTCTCTGGTCAAAGAGGCGTGATTGGGTTAGCTGTTTGGTGTGTTGGGGGCTTCTCCTGCCAAGAGCACGTCCTTGTAATTGTACGGTGGTACAGCGCAAGGCTGCCTTTTGGCGATAATATTGGCTGCCTGAATGGAAGAGCTGCATCCTGAAAACGGTGTCGCGAAGTCGAGAGAAACATTCTGTCCCAGTCAGGGGTGGTGGCTGAGAAGCTGACGGGTGGACGAGTGACAGACGGCAAGAAAAGTCAAAAATAGCAACAGGGCGATCGTCGCTGGGGATTCTGTGGCAGGGTCTTTCCTGGCGTTGTGGGTCCACTCCGATCAGCCCTCCCGTCTCTCATCGGGTTCACTGCCCGCGGGATGGGAATCATAGGTCACCTTCAATGTACTGACTACTGCCAGTGCAGTGTGGGAGGAACAAGTGCTGATGGCAGATGACGATGGTCTGGGCCATGGTCGGCAGGTCGAGGTGGTTTGCCTGCCAGGTTTTCTAGGCGTCCCCAGTGAGCGTTTCCACTAATTCCATAAAATCCCATGGTTGGGATTCCGGGGCCTTTCAGATGATCGTCTGTGAACGGTCGCAAGAGTCTTGGACTTGGAGGTTGCAGCTTGTTTTTTTGGTGGCTTCGAGACTCCGCTGCGTGGCATTCGTGGCACAGGGGCCGGTGGCTGTTTTCTCGTAGCAGGCGTTTGCCGTTTGCACCAGTGATATTGCGAGAAGCCCATGTGGCTCTGGGAATATTGGAGAACGGTATCCTACAACCTGGCGGTCTGGCAGCCTTCTTCTTTTTTTGTTGATTGTTTACGGGTACCTGGAGCACGCCTGTTGATCTTGCAACTCTGTTCCTGTTCTCTCCCGTGTCTGCCGCTGTGTCTCCAGCCTGATGCAGCCAAACACCAAACTTGGAATAACACTGGGCTGGGAACGGCTGGGCAACGGTGATGTTACTGGACAGATGCACATACAGAGTTGACTGCATAGGTCGCATACGGCACATGGTCCGACGAGGCGAACGAAAAAAAACAGCCGCACGAGTCATCCCCTGCTGTCAGTGTTTTTTCTGAGGCTCGTCGTTGCGAGGTTAACAAGGTGATCAGCGCGCAGGCAGAGGTTGGTTGGGTCAGAAAAACATTGGAGCCCCCATGAAACCACAACCACAACCTCCTGTATTTCTGCCGCAGGTGATGGAATGGAGACTGGATGCATCATCACTGCCAGCAGATTGAAGGAACAAGAAGGTTGGAGTCAGTCATCTCTCGCCAACGGTCGGTTGGTCGGCTGGTCGGGGTCTCCATCAGAGATCGTCCACACTGCCCGACACCAATGGACCGCTGTCGTAGATACGTCATCGGTATTGGGGGGGAAACCACAGGTGACATCCATACAGCGGTCGCAGATCGTCCACTTGCTTACCACCACTATCGTTATGCTTCATACGCCTCGGCCGACAGCCGGCGGCCGGTGAAGGGGTGATCGCTCGCCGAACAAGAAGCGAAGACGGGAAGTCAAAGCAAGGGCCTCTCTCGCGCGGGAGGTGTGGTGCGTGCTTGAGCCAGACGAGGCAAGGTTGTGTGCGGCTGCAACTCTCGCACTTTTTTTCTTCGCCGTGTAATGGCCATTTTTTGTACCCAGGCTTCGGATTACTTTGCACAGCTGGAGGGGAAAGAAAGGGTGTTGTTGTCCCAGGGTGCCTCGTCCAAGGTTTGAAGGGTGAGACGTCGAGCGATGTCGAGCGCCGTCACCACCGTCTTCTAGCTGGGACTGTCTCAAGTCCGTGGAGTCGGGCCCTCCTCTGGCTGCTTCTTCTTCCTCTGTTCCCGCTGCCTGGCGCCTGTTCATGTCTTGCGCGTGTCACCTTGACGCTAAAACCGTTGGACTGGCTAGCGGACAAGTTGACGGAGTGCCTTGGAAAGAGACCTAGAGCAATCTGGATGAAGCCGGTCCCCTTCCTTTGTACCGTCTCACTGCCGGATCTGCATTGCGACGGGCATTAAACGGGGGGGCAACAGGCTAGGGATGCTACGACAGATACATTGGGCGGGTTCCATCCGATGTACCTCCAATACCTCCAAGAGCGATCAATTGTGTGCTCGGTGGTAAGCCTGGGTGGATAAAACGTCTGCCAATGCACTGCACGTTCTTGCTGACGCGACTCCTTACAGCCTGCCTACGAATCCGATGCACGCACTGGACGACAGCGAGGCGGCTGTGCAGGTCTGAGTGGTAAGAATATGCCACTTCCGTCGACCGTGTGCTGTTGCTGTTTCTATCTCTGTTCCGTCCGTCGTTGAAAGGGCGGGAAGGGGCCAATGAAGAATAGACAAGTGAGAGACAGGCAGGCTATCAGAAACGAGAGACATAAGAAGCTTGATGCGATAGGCGTAGCAGAAGCATGGAAAAAATAAAGTGGTTGAAGAGCCGTGTTCGCGGGAATACGTACTGCACAACTGCCAAGTTGCGACTGCGCCATGCCGCCATGCAGCCCGCCCACACGCCCGGAGCCCCACCGGGACGGGGGACGGACTGGGGGCCGCGCAACCAACAGGGTCCAAGGGCTCTGGGCTGTCCCAGTCGCTGCAGTTCTGCACATCTCGTTCAGCTTTCCGTACCCAACGACGG